TTCTAAACAGGTACTTAACAAGATCAAAACTTTCATGCAGAAAAGGTCAGTTTGGCTACAGGGAGCTAACAGATTGGAGAGTGGGCAGGAGCCAATGAGGAGAGAGGCTACTGCAATCTCCTAGGTGAAAGTTATAAGGAGGGCTTGGTCTTGGGGCACTGTAGAGATGGGAGAAGAGGAAAGATCTGAGAAATGTGAGAAGGGAGATTCTACGGCCTGCTAATCAGATGTCGGTGGTGAGAGAGAGGTATAAATAGAAAACCTCAGGAGAAGCTGTTTTTACAAGATGGTAGAGGAGCAATGATTGAGATGTCATTGGGGCCAGAGTGGTGTGTGTTCAGGCCCCAGGACTGGACTACAGGGAGTCCAGTGGTGGCAGGGGCTATGACTGTGGGGGTGGAACAGCCTGGAGACCAGCCGCTTGAGGGCTGGAGATACTGCTCTGGATGCCTTGTCACTTGTCATACCTCGTGGCTTGAGGACCTATTTGTGAGTGTTAAGGAAGACTTTGCCGGGAGGCATCTGACCTGAGTTTTAAAGGGTGAGTAGGATACACTCAGAGGGGATGTGGAGATGGAAAGGTTTTCCAGTCCGAAGGAACGTAACGTGAGGAGTAACAGCTCAAGCAATTCAGAATTGCGGGGGCTGGGGACAGGGAGAGAGTGGAAGAGGTGCAGCTGGAGAGGAGGCACGGCCAGACGAGGGAAGGGCAGCGGGGAGCTACTGAAGGGTTTATTCAAGCAAGGGAGAGACACGCCATTTCCGGATTTTGAAGAGATCCCAGGGTCAGCGGTGTGAGTTTAAGGGGCCAAAAAGAAAGCCCAGGAGAACACGGCGGAGGCTGTGGGGCACACGGGGCAGGGGACAGTGATGGAGCAAAGCGGGGGGTGGGGAGGCACTGGAGGGAGATTTGGGAGGTGAAGGAGCCAGTGAAATGAGGAGACCTCCAGGCTTCTGGGTTAGCTCATTGGCATAGCTGACGCCACCAGCTGAGACAGAGGACAGAACAGTAGGAGCGGTTTGAAAAGGAAAGATGACAGGTCCACTTCGAAGCTTGTTTAATTCAAGGGCCACCAGGGTGGAGATTTCTAGCAGGGAGCTGAAGAAAAAAACTCCCTCGAAGTTCAGGTGAGAGGTCTGCATTGGATGGGTGGATTTGGATGTCACAGCACGTAGGCCGTGGTCAGGACCGTGACGGTTTCCCCCCTGAACACTGAGACCACTCCCAGAAAGGGTGTTCAGGGGGAATGGAGGACCCGGGAGAGAGCCCCGGGCCGGGCATTCGTGCAGGGTCTCTCCACACCAAGCCCACCCTTCTAGGTCGGCTCTGCTCTTTGAGAGTATGGCCGGACTTGCAAACTGCTTCCTATCTCCTTTACCACCTGGATTCCTGCTGGCTTCTACCAACCAGAGCCCCTAAAGAGAGACGGGAAGGCATGAAGAAGGCAGAATGGACTTCTTTCTGCTTCTCATTGTTATGATTGTCACAAAGTCACAGAAGACGCTACAGAGCCAGTCTTGACCTTCTTCGTTCCCTCCCAGCACCAGCTGGGCGCCTCCCGCAGAGCTACCAGCACCAGCCAGCTGAGCACCCCGGTGAGGGGTGGGGGTCCAAGTAGCAGATGTGCCGTGGGGGGAGGGGCTCTCTGAGAACCTGTCACTCCCTAAATCTCACCTCTTCCTTTGTTCCCTAGCCCTGGCTTGGGCACGGCTTCCTATACTTATTGATCTGAGCTACCTCTACATGCCCTTTCATATTTTTTTCAGGTTTCCAATGTTGGTATAACCAACTCTTTGTATCAAACATCTTCTCTTTGAAAGGTGGTTTCTGCCCTGGCCATGCAGCTCAGTTGGTTAGAGCATCACCTCCACACACCAAGGTTGTGGGTTCGATCCCTGGTCAGGGCACATAGAAAAGCAACCAATGAATGCACAAATAAGTGGAGCAACAAATCAATGTCTCTCTCAAATCAATAGTTTAAAAAAAGGGAAACAAACAAACAAGGCGGTTTCTGTTTTCTAATTGGACCTCAACTGAAGCAGACCCCTAGGGCGGGCGGAGGGAGAGCCTGCAAAGGAGACAGGGAAGGAGGGGCACTCAGAGAACTGGGAGTGAGAAAGAAGACAGGCAACAGGGTAGCAGAGGGCAGAGAAGGAGGAAATGCTAGGCCATTGAAAACTGAGCAGAGGATGTTATCCAGCAATACTACTCCCGCCCAAAAGTGTTTGCCCAACTTTGAGTGTCTGCCCAAAAGAATTGAAAGCAGGGTCTCAAAGGGTAGCATTACTCACAACAGCCAAAGGTGAAAGCAACGCAAATGGCCATCAACAGATGAATGGGTAAACAAAATGTGGTATACACATAAAATAAAATATTACTCAGCCTTAAAAAAGGAAATTCTGACACACGCTACAACATGAGTGAACCTTGAAGACATTATGCTAAGGGAAATATGCCAGTCACAAAAAGATGGATGCTGTATAGTTTCACTTATAGACGGTCTCTACAGTGCCCACACTCACCAGAGACAGGAAGTGGAACGGTGTTTACAGGTGCTGAGGGGCGTGGGGAGTTGTTTAATGGGTACCAAGGTTCAGCTCTGTAAGACGGTTGCACAACAACATGAATATGCTTAACACTATTGAACTACAAACACTTAAAAATGGTTCAAACAGTACATTTTATTTGGTGTGTGTTTTATCACAATTAAAAACAAAAATAGAGCACAGAAGTCCAGGAAGATAAAGTTTATACATTTCATTTAGGAGGGCATTTAAGACCTTAGGAACGTAGTTTCGATAGCTAGTTGGAAGGCAGACTGCAGTGGGCTGAGAGGTGTGAGGTGAGGAAGTAGGGGCGGACTGTCTTTTGAGAAGTTTGGACAAGCAGGGCACGGGCGAAGGGGTCACAGAGGAAGGGTTGGAGCATGTGAGAGGCTGAACGAGGAGCCTGCAGAGGAAGAGAGGTGACATATTTGCTATGAAGCAGCAGAGTTCTGAACAAGCAGAGGAGGGAGGGGCCTGGCCTTGGGCAGAAGGGACAGCTGATGCTCCACTGTGGGAGGGAAAGCAAGGGGGAGTGGGTGTCAATACACTTACAGATCGGGGGGGGGGAGCGTGAGTGATGATCTCAAAGTTTTCTCCATGATGTAGGAGACAATAGAGAGGGACCCCTGAAGAAAAAGATCAAGGCAAGTGCTGAGGGCCTAGGCAAGATGAGAGGTCATGGATTTGTAAGTGTTCTCTACAAGGCCAACAACATTTTCTCGGGCAACTCATTAAGCATGAAGACAGGCTACAACAGTGAGCCAGGCTTCGGGTGTTGTTTGAGAGATGCTACAGAGGGATGGGGTGGGAGGGGATCGAAGGTGCTGGTAAGAGCAGGACTTAGATGATCAACCGAGGAGTCGAGGGTCATTGGGGGAGATGGAGAAAACTGGAAGAACTAATGAAAAGATTGGAAGAAGAGAAAAAGATACAGGGGCTGATATTTCCAAAAAAGTCCAAGGCATTTGTAAGGTGAATGAGACAACTGGAAACCCAGGAGGCTGGGGTGTCGTGGACAGAAAGCAGGGTACTGGGTGAAGGGGCTGCCCTTTGATGGCAGGACTGTGTGACCCAGGAGGAGGAGTGCACGGAGGTCACACTGGAGATCACACGGGAGGTCACACAGGAGGTCACAGGCTCCGTGGAGGGGCCGTATTTTTATGAGTTGGAATGGAAAGAAGGCTATGAGCCAGGTCAGTCCCCAGCTGGATGTCCCACCATAGCTCATATTTGTGGGACCCAACTCAAACTCAGCGTATTTCCCTTTTGTGGGCCACTCCTCCCAAATGTGCCATTTCTGGATTTGTCACTTCTCTAGATCCATAATGTCGTGAAGATGACATAGGACTATGAGTTAGGATACCTGGGTTCAAATTCTGCTTGACAGTCCTCTCAATATTCCTCCCCCACCCCACTGAAGTTAAATTATAAGAAGTACATTGTTATTTTGGCAGGTGATGTTAGATATATTATTACTTAGTTGTTGCTAAGATTGAAAAGTCTTATTACATCCAGCTTTTACTCAGTGAGCCTAGCAAGATAATGTGACAGGTCTCATTGTCACCACTGTATTAAAATGACTGTGACGGAAGCATAACCTGTGTCTCAACATAGCCACATGAACAATTTCCAGACACCACGTACAAAACCAGTGCCCATTTTCATCAATATTTCTTATAAAACTTATCTCTGCGGGGTTGTTCTGAAGACCAAACTCAATGAGCATGTGCAAGCTCCCAAGTGTATAACCAGGAATATAGTAACTGCTCAGTAGACATCAGTGGAATCTGAAGATGATTTTTTTCCTTCATTCTCTGAATGAATTTATCACCAAGTCCTAATTTTTGTTCTTCACATTGCTAAATGTCATTGTTTATTAATCAGCACCTTCATGGGATGACTCATCAACTCAGAGGACCAGCACCCCTGAGATCTCTGCACAAACCTTTCTCTCACCTTTGCAACGTTCTAAATCTAATCTCTGCCCTCATTTGCTGGGACCTTGAATATGTTCCTTACTCATCCAGTTTCATTTTTTCCCATGGTTCACAGGGAATACAAAAGAGTTGGTTCTTAGGTAAAGTGCCAGGTAGGCACCATACTGTTATCTCACATAGAACTCACTTGGATTTATAATTAAATCTCATCCTGCATAGATTAACCTCTGGACTGAGAGTACAGTTACAATATGTGATAAATGATTAACATAATTTCCTGTAAAAATGTACCTCAAAAATGTATAGGCTGAGCTTGAAGTTCTTTAGTCAACAAAAGTTGTTGACTAAACTTACCATTAGCATATTAATGGAGTTCCTAGAAGAGTAAGTTTGTTTGCACTTAACTTGACTTTAGTGGCAACCCTTGGAATGAGGAGGGTAACTCTGGCTTCATCCCTCGAGTTTGTAGCAAAGACACGGGGAGGTCCCAGCATCTGAGTTGGCCCAGGAAAGGAAGAGCCCTTTGGGTTGGGTTGTAAAAAGGTCATGAACACAGAAGGGTAAAGTAAGTCTCCATAAAACCCAGAGAAGAGATGGTAAAACTCCTCTTTGGATCCTGTCTGGAGTCACAGATGAAAAAAAAAAAAAAAAAGGTCATGTGGATTCCTGAACCTGAGAGACAGATTATGTTTATCAAGGATCGAGGAACCATAAAGAAAAGGAGCCTTGGCATGTGGAAAGGAGATAGGTTCCATTCTGCAGTGCTGACTCTATGAAGATAGCATAGTCATGAGAAGCCAGATATGGACCAATGGGGCTCAATGGTCAAGACCAACCTAACATCCAATGAAAATAATATCTAAGTTGGGAAGGATGGTGGGATATATAGTATGTGGGTGATAGGACCTTTGATCCAATCAGAGCCAGGAGGTTCTGCCTACTGCCCCTGCGGACTCAGGCTAAGTCGATTTGTCAAAACAGTGTCCTGGGTTAGGGAGAAATGCCCTGACACTGTGAGCCCTGGTGTTGGTTTCTCAAAGAAATAATGTGATTGAACAAGATGTACTGGTGATTTAGTTGTAGGACCCAAATCTACTCATTCTCCAAATTTTCTCCAAATTTGCAATGGAGAAAAGTTTATCACTTACTCATCCGATTGCTCTCAGAGAGATAGTGCTTACTTTCTAAGAGAGGAATTACTGTAAGTTGGCTTCTTAGAATTTAAGCCTGCCTGTGGCTATTGCCTATGCTTAGTTTTGATTGCTTTAAGGATAGCAAGTAAGCCCCTTCAGCAGGACTGGGAAAGCAACAGGTGAAAAAAGGAAAGTCAGGCTGCAAAGTATCACCTATAAAGATAACATGATCCTTTGCCCTTTTTTTAATTGGATTGTTTGTCTTCCTGGTGTTGAGTTGTGTAAGTTCTTCACAACTTGTTGTAACAAAGTTGTATATATTTTGGAGATTAACCCCTTATTAGATGTGTCTTTGGTAAAGAAGTTCTCCCAGATAGTGGGTACCCTTTTCATTTTGCTGATGGTTTCTTTTGCTCTGCAGAAGCTTTTTAGTTTGATATAGTCTCATTTGTTTATTTTTTCCTTCATTGCTGTTGCCCTAGGAGACATAGTGGCAAAACTATTGCTCTGAGAGATGTCTGAGATTTTAATGTCTATGTTTTCTTCTAAGATTTTTATGGTTTCATGACTTACATTTAAGTCTTTTATCCATTTTTAGTTTATTATTGTGTATGGTGTAAGTTGGTGGTCTAGTTTCATTTTTTCTTGCATGTAGCTGTCCAATTTTCCCAACATTATTTTTTGAAGAGATTGTTTTTACCCCATTGCATGTTTTTGCTTCTTCTGCCACATATTAATTGACCATATAGGTGTGGGTTTACTGCTGGGCTCTCTTAGGCCGGTGCCAGCCTATTTTGATTACAGTGGACTTGTAGAGCAGGTATTGTAATCCCTCCTATTTTGTTCTTCTTTCTCAAAATTGCTGAGGCTATTTGGGGTCTTTTTTGTTTCCATATAAATTTTTTTGGAATATTTGTTCTAGATCTATCAGATTTGTCATTGGTATTTTAATAGGAATTGTATTGAATCTATAGATTGCTTTGGGTAGTATGGACATTTTAGTGATGTTAATTCTTCCAATCCATTAACATGGTATATGCTTCCACTTATTTGTGTCTTCTTCAAATTCTTTCTTCCTTCAATGTCCTCTAGTTTTCCATCAGCAAATCAACAAACAAAAAGTGCTGTGAAGATGTGGAGAAAAGGAAACCTTAGTACACTGTTGGTGGGAATGCAGACTGGTACAGCCAATGTAAATAGCAATATGGAGTTTCCTAAAAAAATTGAAAATGGGTCTGCCTTTTGACCAGGGTCTGTCATGACCCATGGACACAGACAACAGTGTGGTGATGGCCAGAGGAAGGGGGGGTCCCTGGGAGGAGGGAGACAAAGAGGGGCAAAATGGGGACATCTGCAGTAGTGTCAACAGTAAAAATAATGAAAAGAAAGAGAAGAAAAGAAAAGATAACATGATCCCAGGCCCATCTCCTTTGCCCTCTATCTGCTCCTTATTTGTTTAGACATAATCCCTTGGCTTTCAGCTCATCTCACTTTCTGCTTCTGCTTCCTCACTTTCTCTAGAATACTCGCGGACGTTTCCCTGTAGGAAGGCCTCTCCTTTACATAACAGACAGCTTTTTTCTTCTTCCCTTGCTTCATTCCCTCTTGTATTTACTGAGAGTCCATTTCCCGTGGGATACTCTGCTAAGTATGCCTGGCTACCCATGACGTCCAAAGACAGCTCCTGACACCAAGGACTTTACATTACAGGAAAGGAGATAAGATTTTTACATATTTTGCTGTAACACGAAAATAGAAGAAACTGGAAAGTGCTATAAGATAGAGTCAAACAATACTGAGGAAGTTCCAAAGAAGGCAGATTGTTTCCGGCTAGGCAGGTGGGAAAGACTTCCTGGAGGCAGAGACATTTGCATTGAGCCTTGAATAATGGAGACCATTTAAACATGCAGAAACAGAGCACCATATCAGTGTTACGTCAAATGCAAACACTTAACCACATACATGTCTCATTTTAGAGTGCATAAGGTACTGATATGGGATCTGCAAGAGGGGAGCTAGTGGAAAATACACATTTTTAAGTGTAGCCAGCTGCTGTTGTTCCAACCCCACCTTTGGAATCAGAGACCTGCCCAGGGACAGCTGGCAGTTTGGGTAACTGATGGTGAGGGAGTAGGAATGGATGCAAATATCTTTCTGATATCATTACTTTTATTTAATATACCTTCCAATGCTGAAATTTTAGATTTCATAATATTTGTAGATGATAAAATTGTGGATTTACCCGTATCCCTATGTTGCATATGGGGAAGCTGGGCTTACTACATCCTAGTTCGCGTAGAGGAAAAAAGTGGTAAGTCAGCACCACAGGTATCATCAGTCTGTGACAAAGTTTACACTAGTCTGTGGTAGAGTGAGATAATAGATGGCTGGCAATACTTTTTTTGTTTTTTACTAAATTGAATGTATTAAACATAAAGATTATCTTTTATCTAGAGATTAAATTTCTGGTCTTAAAATGGCTTGTTAAAATGACGTGATGGTAGTGGTTGGGAGGATGGTGGTATTAAAAATAAAAAAACTTATTCCTTTGCAAAATGAAAGGTTTCTAACCCTATGAAGATCTCACAGAAAAACACAGAAGAAAAGGAAAGTTTCCTAGCCTATGAAATCCTAAAAGTAAATGCTCAAACTAGTAAACTGTCCAGTTTAAGGAGAAGAGGGTGGTTTTTTGCATACAGAATAAAATAATGCCAGAAATGAAGGGAGCACAGAGATCATCTGGTTTGTGCAATTCCTCATTTTACAGATGAGAATTTGAGGCCCAGAAATGTCAAGTGCTTTCTCCAAATCACTTGTCCTTTTATTTTTATATTTTCAAGTGATCCTATTTATAGTGTTTCTGATTTTTGCGTAAGCATACATGATCAAAAAAATATCAATAAGCTCTTATGAGACAGGATATTTATCATAACCTAAAATTTATGTACAGAAACTTTAAGAAAGCTTTGTATTAATGCCTCTGAGTCTGTGCTGCTATTTATAAGTTCTCATAGAATATTTGTGTTTTATTGTTTTGCACTCAAGAAGTATGAGCAGCAAAACAGCAGCAGAATGTTACTGGACCTCAGTTCAGCAATGGTGGTGCTTGAATTCAGCAAAGAAAGCATTCAGAACCAAGGAACTCAAATTATAAGAGGAAGTTTATTTAGAAGGTCACAGAGATAGAAAAGTTGAGCCAGCTGGGCTGCGTGGGCTCAGAAAACAAGCTACAAAAGCAAAAGAAGGGCCCTTGGAGCTTAGGAAAGAGAAATGCAGAAAGGGCCCAACTGGGGAGAGAGGAGGAAAGGCACGGTGTGCTCCAGGGAGACACCTTGAGGAAAGATGGCGGCAGGGAAAGGCACAGGATTGCTCAAGAGAGAGAGAGCATGCACAGAGTCCTCTGTCTCGAGGGCTTGTATCTGGAGGTGTCAGAGGAGGAGCTCAACAGAACATCCATCAGCTTTCCAGATGTGTCCCGTCAGGGTCATGGTCTCTACTGACGGGTCAGCACCAGGGCACGGGGTCATTAGTCATTGCATCTAGTCCTGATGTCAGCCATGCTGTTGCTCCATCGGGTTTTGCAGCTTTTTGGGACCTAGAGCTGAAACACAACGGAGACCTAGATGTCATCTCTACTTTGACCAAAACTCTGTCCCTGTCTGTAGTCAGCAGACCTGAAGCTTAGTTCTTAAGATTATTTGATGTGGGTCAGAACCTCCTTGTCTTGAAGATTTAATACTTAAAGGAATGGACATACAGGGCTTATATGGGAGTCACATGAGGCTGTTCTCCAGCCCTATTGTTCCTCCTCTATGTTTAGGGATGAAAGGTCATCCTGGGGGTGAAGTCCTTGTTTCCCCAGTTTTGCCCATTGGTAGGTACTCAGGACTTTCTGCTCTGGTGACATTCCATATCTATTTTTCCTATTCTGCTCATGCCTCTCTAATGCCTACTACAGAAGGGCCTCAAGGTCTTACAAGATCAGGCAAAGCACTGATCTGTCAAAATACCGTTCTTATGCTTACGTACCTGTACAAAAGCAAAACATCCCTACCACTCATTAATTACTCTGTTCTAGTACTTATAATCCAATGGTGGTATGACCTGTTCCATGGGCTTTAAGGTGTGTCGCTTCCTTTGGTGTGAATTTACTCCCTGCCCACTCCACATTACATGCTGTGACAACCAACAATGGGGGATCTGCAAGACCAGCCTTGCCGTCCAGGAGGGAAAAGTCTAATGGAGGAATCTCAGTTACGAAGGACCTGGAATTACAGCGGGTTATCGACTGATGTTGGAAGTGTTGAGGGGAGGGGGACTGTTGGTCTAGGAGTCTGTGCTGAGGAATGACTCGAAGGAGATGACATTTCAGGAGTGTCGGGTAAAGATGTGCCGAGCAGATGGGATGGAGAGACACCTAGAGTAAGAGTTGTAATAACAAAGGTGTGGTTACTGAAGACCTGCCCTGGCTGAGAATAGAAGAAGGACCTGAGACTTTTCA